TAATGGTCTGTGTTGAGTTTAGCCAGCGACAAGGACGACAGGTGCATCCTCACAGGGTACCTGGGTTTTGCCTTCTCCAGTGTACTTTGGTATTGTTTTCCTCTCACTGCACCCCAGCCGTCTCCTCCCGCCATTACAAACCCCATGGCATTAATGGTTACGTAAATTTAAAAATAGATGTTCTTGAGGCCAGCCCAGTGGCATAGCAGTTAATTTTTTGTGCTCCACTTCAGTGGCCCAGGGTTTGCAGGTTCGGAACCCTGGGCTCGGACCTACTCACTGCTTACCAAGCTGTGCTGTGGCAGCGTCCCACATACAAAATAGAGGGAGATGGGCATGGATTTTAGCCCAGGGACAATCTTCCTCAGAAAAAAGAGGAGGATTGGCATTGGATGTTAGCTCAGGGCTGGTCTTCCTCACAAAAAAAAGGAAAAAAAAATAGATGTTCTAGATCTTTGTCTCTTGTACTCTTGCTTATTTGGCAGTTCTGTTCTGTTGATACTTTGCTGTGACCTTCTGGTTTGATTGTTTATACCTTGTTTATAATTTCTTTCCTGTTCCGCTTTAAGAAATCCCTTCCTGCCTGATGTTCTGGTTAGCCGTTGTTACATAACAAACTACTGCAATACTTCCTGTCTTAAAATCACCATTTTTGCTTTGCTTGCAATTTTGTAGGTCAGGAATGCAGGAAGGGCTTGTCTGGGTGGTTCATCTCTGATCCACAGGCCATCAGCTGGAGTGGCTGGGCCAGAGGACCCCATTGCAAGGCGGCTTTCCTCACATGTCTGGAGCCTCGGTGCTCCCTGGCGTCTCTCTCTCTCCCACGCTAGCTGTCATTTTCTAAGGCCTCTCCATGTGGCTTGGGCTTCCATTAGTGTGGTTCTCTGAGCCCTCACGGTTCTTACATGACAGCTGGATGTCAAGAGACGAAGGTGGAAGCCTCTGAAAGGCAAGGCCCAGAACAGGCAAACTGTGGATCAGGGCAGTGACAGGAAGGGCCAGATTCAAAAGGAGAGGAAGTAGGAATGTAAAAAAATTTGTGGTTATCTTTAGTAACATATTTTTCTTTCGTCACGTTCTCTGTTTTATTGTGCAAGCTGTACATTTACCTTATGGTTTGGTGTTGTGGATCAGTCACATCAATATAATTTTCTTTAATCTCTCAGAAGATTTACTCCTTCATTCATCAAATATTCGTGGAGTTTTTACTATATGCCTGGTCCTGTTGAGCTTTGGGAATGCAAAGGTTGACAATTCAGAAAAATTCTTTGCCTGCATATATTCTGATTTGGGGCTGGGGCACAGGGAGTAAATAATAGACAAACAAATAAATAAAACGGGGTAAGAGAATAGAGACGGACTGGTGGTTGGGATGCTAATTTAGATATCGTGATCCAGGAAGGCTCCTTCAGAAGAAGTGACATGTGAGCGTGAACCCAAAGGATGTGAAGTGTCAAGCCATGCAGAAATCTGGGAGAAGGGCATTCCAGGTAGGGAGCAAAGAGTAAGTGTACAGGCCCTGAGGGGAGAACAAGTTTGGCATGTTGGAGAGCTACAAAGCTATAGTAATCAAAACAACATGGTACTGACACAAAAACAGACACACAGATCAATGGCACAGAATTGAGAGCCCAAAAACAAACTTTCACATCTGTGGACAGCTAATCTTTGACAAAGGAGCCAAGAACATGCAATGGAAAAAGGAAAGTCTCTTCAATAAATGTGTTGGGAAAACTGGACAGCCACATGCAAAAGAATGAAAGTAGACCCTTACCTTACACCATACACAGAAATTAACTCAAAATGGATTAAAGACTTGAATGTAAGACCTGAAACCATAAAACTCCTAGAAGAAAATATAGGCAGGACAGTCGTTCACGTCGGTCTTAGCAGCATCTTTTCGAATACCATGTCTACTCAGGCAAGGGAAACAAGAAAAAATAAACAAATGGGACTACATCAGAATAAAAAGCGTCTGCAAGGCAGAGGAAATCATGAACAAACAAAAAGACAACCCACCAACTGGGATAAAATATTTGCAAATCTTATATCCGACAAGGCGTTTAATTTCCAAAATGTATAAAGAACTCATACAACTCAACAACAAAAAGACAAACAACTTGGTCAAAAAATGGGCAGAGGATATGAACAGACACTTTTCCAAAGAAGATATACAGATGGCCAACAGGCACATGAAAAGATGTTCAACATCGCTAATCATCAGGAAAAGGCAAAACTATAATGAGGTATCACCTCACACCCGTCAGAATGACTATAATTAACAAGACAAGAAATAATAAGTATTGCAAAGGATGTGGAGAAAAAGGACCCCTCATACACTGCTGGTGGGAATGCAAACTGGTGCAGCCACTATGGAAAACAGTATGGGGATTTCTCAAAAAATTAAAAATAGAAATACCATGTGATCCAGCTATCCCTCTACTGGGTATTTATCCAAAGAATGTGAAATCAACAATACAAAAAGGTCTGTGCACCTCTATGTTCATTGCAGCGTTATTCACAATAGCCAAAATTTAGAAGTAACCTAAGTGCCCGTCAATGGATGAATGGATAAAGAGGATGTGGTATATATATACAATGGAATACTACTCAGGCATAAAAAAGAGAAAATCTTGCTATTTGCAACAACATGGATGGTCCTTGGGGGTATTATGCTAAGGGCGGTAAGTCAGATGGAGAAAGACAATTACTGTATAACTTCACTCATGTGAAAGGTCAACAAACAAACACATAGATACAGAGAACAGATTGGTGGTTACCAGAGGGAAAGGAGTGGTGGGAGGGTGAAAGAGGTAAAGGAGCACATGTGTATGGTGACAGATGTCAACGAGACTTTGGTGGTGAACATGGTGCAGTCTGTACAGAAATCAAAATATAATATGTTATAAACCAATGAGTCCTCGATTAAAAAATTAACTCAGAATAGATCAAAGACCAATGAAGACTCAAAGCTATAAAACAACTAGAAGAAAACAGGATAAAATTTTTTCTGCCTTGGATTCAGCAAAGATCTTAGATATGACACCAAAAGTACAGTCTTTTAGAGCCAGTGGATAATTTGAACTGTGCTTCAAAAGATACCACTAAGAGAATACAAAGACAAACCACAGACTGGGAGAAGATATTGGCAAAGTATATATCTGATAAAGGATTTATATCCAGAATATGTAATGAACTCTCAAAGCTCAACAATAACAACAAAAAACATTAAAAACAGGCAAAAGAATGGTGCAGACACTTCACCATAGAAGGTATACAGGTGGCAAATAAACACATGAAAAGGAGCTCAGCATCATTAGTCACTGGGGAAATGCAAATTAAAGCCACAGTGAGATATTACTACAAACCTTGGAGTGAGTGACTAAAATTTAAAAGGCTAACTGTACCAAATATTGGCAGGGATATAGAGGAACTGGAACTCTCTTACACTGCTGATGGGAATGTACAACTAGTTTGGAAAACAATTTGTCGATTTTTTAATGAGAGAGGTTTTTGCTGAGAAAGATTGGCCCTGAGCTAACATCTGTTGCCAATCTTCCTCCTTTTTTCCCTTTTCCTCCCCAGAGCCCCAGTAGATAGTTGTGTGTCATAATTGCACATCCTTCTGGTTGCTCCATGTGGGACGCCGCCTCAGCATGGCTTGATGAACGGTGCATAGGTCTGCGCCCAGGATCTGAAGCAGCAAACTCCGGGCCGCTGAAGTGGAGCATGCAGACTTAACCACTATGCCAAATTTTTGAAAGTTAAGCATATACCTGCCATGTGATACAGCCATACTGCTTTGCATCCCACACTTAGGTATTTACCAAAGCAAACGAAAGCATATACAAAGACTTTTCTTCATGAGTGTTCATAGCAGCTTTATTTGTAGTAGTCCAAAATTGGAAACAAACCAAATGTTTATCCACAGAAGAATGGAGAAACAAATTGCGGCATATCCATACAGTGTAATACTACTCAGCAATAAGAATGGATTAAGTACTAATACACGTAACAACTCAGATGAATCTCAAAATAATTATGTTGAGTAAAAGTAAGCAGAGTATATATTGTATGGTTCCACTTACATAAAATTCTAGAAAATACAAAGTAATCTATATTGACAGAACAGATCAGTGGCAGCCTAGGGATAAAGCGGGTCAGGAAAGGGCAAGAAAGGTTACAAAGGGCTCCTCCAGAATTTTTTAAAGTGCAAAGGTTTCCTGAGAGCAGAATGTTTGAGAACATTCGCCCTGTGGAGTCAGAAGATCCTCAGACGGGCTTGTCAGACAATGCTCTAGCATGATGTTGCAAAGTGTTACACTTCCTTCTGCAGTGCGGAACGGGAGTTGGGAGAACTGGATGTGTACTTTAGGAAGATAACCCTGGCAGCATTGTAAGGGGTCCCAGAGAGGGGATGTCTAGAAGCAGGCGCGGTTAGGAGGACATTTTTGGCCTTGACTGAGGCTCCAGGTAATGGGAGACAGACTTGATAGAATTGGTAGGACGTGTCTCTGGTTAGAGGGAAGGGAGAAACCTGCCTGGTATTTGAGGGGCTGCAGGGGTCATTATCTGAGATAGAGAATCCTGGAGGAAAGCAGGTTTGGGGCAGGAAGATAGGGGTGGACTTTCACTTTCTTAAGGACATATTTTGGTGATAAGAAGCTTTTAATTTTAATAAAGTCTAATTTATCAACTTTTTTCTTTAAGAAAAAGTACTCTTCCCATCTCTCATGTTAATTATATTTTTTAAAAGATTCTATTTTAAGGGGATGGGGGAGAGGGTGAAAGGGGTAAAGGGGCACATATGTATGGTGATAGGGATAAAAACTAGACTATTGGTGGTGAACACAATGCAGTCTATACAGAAATTGGTATATAATAATGTACACCTGAAATTAAACAATATTTTAGCCCATATGACCTCAATAAAATAATTAAGTAAATAAATGAAGATTCTGTTTTATTTATTTAAGACTTTTTCCTCCCTTCTTCTCTAGATATCATTGACCCTGCAATCCTGCGCCCAGGCCGCTTGGACAAAACACTCTTTGTGGGTTTGCCACCCCCATCAGATCGTCTTGCCATCTTAAAAACTATCACAAGGGTGAGTAAAGGAAATGGTACATTTTTTTGTATGTTTCTCTCATTTTAAATACAGACAAGTATTCATTTAGGATGCCTAATCACTGTTTTCTGTAACTTTAAATATTTGCCACGCCTATATCCCCAAAGAAGAAGGTGAACTGTTTTTTATAATTGAAGAGACCATCCATTCTTTTTTGTTTGCTTAAAAATAGAAGGGATATTTAGAGTTAAATGCTCAACTGATATATTTGAGATGTCACTCTGATCACATTTTCTGTTCTGTTAGATCTTTGATTCTTACTTTAGAGGAATGGTCTTCAGAGCATATTTGAAATGGAGTAGAAACTTTTAGAGATGAAAAGTAAATAGATATAGGCTCATTATAAATATCCAAAGAAAAATTGAGTTTTGAAACCACAGTGTTGAATTCTATCCTCCACGTTGGTGTATGCCAACTTCTAAGACGCCTGTACAGTATTGACTTGGCTATTTTTATAAAAATAATAAGCAGTGTATACAGAATACAAAGAAGGAGGCATATCACCCTGAATTGTACCAGCGCAGAATAATCTGCATTGGTGCGGACATCATTCCAAACATCTTTGTGCAGCTTGGGGAGGTGGATGGGTGGATGGTTGAGTGGATGAGAAGGAGGAGGGGGAATAAACTTAACACATTATTTAAATAAAGTTAAATTTGTTTGAAATTTAAAAGAAAACAAAGCTAAAGGAATTATTAAACTTCCAGTAAATGTTTCTTTTCCATAAAAGATATTATTTTCTAAAGTATCACTGTAAGAGTTGAAAAAAAAAAGATTGGGAAAGCCAGTAAGTAGCCTGGTCATTATTTTTTTAAAGTACACATTTTGTTTTAGACGGCATCAGTTTAGTTTCTGCTCTGAAGGTTAGATAATTAGCATCCTTGTCTTCCCCTCCTCCCACTTCCCAGTTTTTGTTCCCTGTATATTTTCTCTTTGTCCAGTGTCATCACATTTACATTCTGCTCTAGAGTCACATTCTTAGTTTCATATTTAAATAGATACAATACTCACAACCGGCACGTTGCCACAGCTTTTATATGTTTTCTAGTTTCTTTATTTTAATTCGTCTTTTGGTTAACCATATTTCATCCTCAGGTTTATTCCATTTATTAACAGTTTGCTTATTCAGCTCTATTTCTTGAGTTCTTTTCATGATTAAGAATGTCTGCCTGTTGTCTTTATACTTGAATGACATATTAGCTGGGAATAACTTTTCCTTGGTTGCACAGTCTTTCTTTCTGGTCTTTGTAGAAATTACAACATGATTTTTGGACACTGAATGTGCTGTAAAGATGTGTGAGGCCCGTCTGGTCTTTGTTTTCCCTTTGGTGGGTGACTTGCTTTTTCTGCTTGGATCCCTGAAAAATTCTTTATCTGTGAAGTTTAATAACTGAACTAAGATACATCATTGTCTGTTACTTTTTGTTGTTGTTGCTGCTGCTGGTGGTAATGGGGGTTTGTTTTGAGTGGAGAGGAACTAAAATCTGGTGTACCTTTTTATTCTGTGGGTGCAATTCTTCCTTCATTCCAGGGAAATTTTTCTGTGTTGTATGTCTGAATACTTTTTCTGATTCATTTATTGGATGTACTTCTCCAAGGTCACCAATTATTCTTATATTAGATCCTCTTTTGTCTTCCATATCTTTTGTCTAATTCCTTTAATTTTTGCATTCGCTGTGATTAACTTAAAGTCTTCTTTTTTTTTTTTTTCTTTTCCCCTTTTCTTTCTTCTTTCCATCCTTCCTTCCTTCCTTCCTTCCTTCTATTTGCCATGCTTCTTTCTCCGCATCTTGATGGTTACTCCATCAGCCCCTCCTCTTGGTCCTAATGTAGAGTGGATGCACTCTCTCATCTGCCTCTCACTCTGCCTGGACCAGTCTTCCTGCCCCTCACACGTTAGAATTTGAGGTCTAGTTAATTGCTTTGTATCTCCATTTTTACAGACTACAGGGAGGAAAGGGAGCTAAGCTTGTACTAAGTTAACCCCTATGGGGAAGCCTGAGCTTATCCTCTTCTGAAAGATGCCCTACGAAGTGTCTTATACCCGGACCTGCTCTGTCCGTGCAGAGCACATCTCATTCCCGTGGGGTTGTGCCCCAGTGCTGCACACCCTGGAGACTGGCATACTGGGCAGGTCTTCCTGATGCTGCTCAAATCCCTTGATGGTATATCTGAGGGTTTTTCTTTAACTTTTCCTAGGGATATCTTCTCCTTAGGCTGCTTCCCTCCAGATTAGAATATTAATGGACATTTACAAGATTTTGTCAACTTCTTTCCTCAGTGCTGCTTCCAAGGAATGGAGGCCTAATTACTAGCTACTCCAGAATTTTCTTTCCTTGGCACCTGCTTTTCAATGTTTACAATGTGAGAGTTTACCCTTTTCTTTATTTGATTGCCACTGGTAAATTTTTAAACTTTACATTTTTTTAGTATTTTCTTTCTATGTTGGCAAAGGAAGATTCTGTGATCCTACTTCACTGGGCCATCATTACTTAAAACTGCATATAGTGGTGTTCATAACTATCTCCCAAAGAGGGAAGAACAGAATGATGATCAGCTTTGTGGGTTAAAAAGACCCCTGACAGCAGTATGGACGATAGCTTGGAGGAAGGTGAAACAAAAGGGGAAAAATTAAGCATGCCAGAACAAAGGCAGTATTAGGGCACTAGCAAAGAGGACATAGATATGGGAACTGTTTTAAGGTTTTAATTAACAGGACATTGGATTAACTATAGAGTTGAGGGGTGAAGAAAAAGGAAGATGAATTCTCAGCTTGGGCAGCTGAATAGAGAGTGGTATACACCAAGGTAAGGGGTTTGGGAATGAGGAAATGGTGTTATCTGAGTTTCAGGTCCCTGGGCATTATCCAAGCAGAGACGTCCAGCAGGAAGTTGGTTCTGTGGTTCAGAGTTCAGAAGAGTCCTCTAGCTAGGTTATAGTTTTGCCTGTCATCAGCACATAGCTGGTGGTCAAAGCCATGAAAACACATTGCTGTAGTTCAGTGGCTCTTAACTTAGGGCCATTTTACCAACAACAACAACCTACCCCACCCCCACCGCCCAGGGCAGTGTCTGGGACATTTGTTTATCACGAGGCAGGGGAGTAATGGTGTTACTAAACATCCTGCGATGCACGAAACAGCCCCACAATAAAGAATTCTCCGACCCAAAATACCAGTAATGCCGAAGTTAAGAAACTCTCCTTTAGTAGTATGTACTTGCTTCTTTGTATCAAGCAAGTTTGATGATGAATTAAACACCGTAGCATTTTTGTTGGCTTTGTCATTAGGAACTATGACAGTGAGACTTTGTTTGCTTTGGTTAATGTATGTGTGTATGTAGGTGTACACAACACAAGCACATACTCATACGTGCAACCCTAATTTGTGTCTTTAAATTTCTTGTAGTCTTGATGACAATGATAATACTTTTACACTTGCCCCTGGGATATCACTGATTAAAGGCAAAGATCAGAGCGATATTCGTTTCTAGACATACATGCCTGACATGAGGTATGTGGTGTTCAGGGCCTTGCAGATCTGGACCCAGAAGAATGATGGGCTCATTCTTCAGACATGTTTCCTCCACTTACGGTACTCAACACCATGGAACAACTTGAGACTTCCTTCATCTAGAATTTCAGCACTATTTGCCAGAATTATTAGCCCTCAGACTAAGGGGCAAATGCTTGAAGTACCCCACTTCAAAGATAAAATTATTAAGAAAATAAGATAATAGAATATTAACCTAAATGAATGATCTTTTTGTCAGTCAACCAGTATTTATTGTAAACTAAATATATCTCTGATTGTGTGTATACGGTGGGGAAACTAAGAAACGTAAGACATAGTCCTCACCTGTGAGGAGCTTGTCTTCCAGATGAAAAGATAATATGCGTGTTTATAAAACAACAACAAGCATGTTAATTATCCCTGAGGAGGAGAGAAAAATGAGGGCAACTGAATAGCCTAGAGATTTCAACTGCGTAAAGAAACAGAGAAAAAAAGTCAAGAAGTATACTAAGATATTAATAGTGCTTGCCTCTGGGGGATGGAATTATAGGTTATTTCTTCTGCTTTGTCAATGCCCCCCAGTTGGAGACCACCAGGAACACACGTGTAGTTGAACAAGTTGGGTTATTACTCTTGCGAGGAGGAACCAACAGAATGGAGATCTGTGGGCATCTCAGTAAGTGGGTGTTAGAAGGACTTCAGTGATTTGTGTTCGTGTTCGATTTGGAAAGAGTTTAAGAGGCTTTGCTCTAAATTGCTTTCCAAAAGCCGCTGTAATTTTGTGCTCGGGTTTCAATAAATCTCATCTGGAAGGAAGGAAATGAGACGCGGGCTACAGCCATGACTGCTGAAGAAGCAGCAGCCACTCGCGTTAGCCAGGATGGGGGATGTTTGATCGTTTCTGTGGCGTAGACAGTGTTCACATTTTGTCCGTGTTCGGACGTGGTTATGCGGAGGTCTTGTTTTGGTCTTGATCCATCTGCTCCGAGAGTGGCCTTGTCTGATGTCGATGTTCTGTGAAATTGTTGGTGTGCCGGCAGGGAACACCACCGCCCGGCTGTGTGTCCAGACATCCTGGCCACACCGAGGCCCGCCTGGTAGGTATCAGGCCAGTTCCTGCATGCCAGGGGCTGCTTTTCTCTGTCTCAGTTGCCTTATCTTTCCAGATTTTCTGTCGTGAGCATATATGTATATATTTGGGGGGTTTTGTTTTGTTTTTTTAAAGAATAATTATCTGGCATAAATGCGGAGATTTGGGAGGAAGAATTAGATAGAAAGGCCCTAGAATTAGATAGAAAGGCCCTTTGGGCAGCCTCCATGCACAAAGTTGTGAATATGGAAAGAAGGAAAAAACAGAAAAAGACGTTTTGATGGAAAAATCAATTTGACTTTAAAAGCAACTTTGTGTAGGATTGTGGTGTAGACTGTTACATAGTCAGTTCTCAGCATCTGTCCGTGCCAAAGGCAA